ATTTGTTTTCATGTTTGTATTTTTCATGTATTTTGTTTACTTTGTGTTTATTTTGTATTCATGTGTGCATTTTGTTTACTTTGTGTATTTTATTTTTACGTTATGTGTATTTTCTTTACTTTGTATTTTGTTTTCATGTGTATATTTGGGAGTGGTGGCGCAGAGGTTAGAGAAGGCGGGCCTGTGATTGGTAGATCGCTGGTTCAACTCCCAGTACCGACAACATCAAAATGTGGGTGGGATTGGTGAAGCACCCACACCTGCCTCCACCCTCATTTGCCCCACACTGGGCCCTTGAGCAAGGCCTTTAACCCCCACCATCTGCTCCCTCGGGCGCCTTAGATAGCAGCTCTGCTCCACACAGGGGGCTGTGGTAGCTCGGTGGTCTGTGGTTACATCAGGAAGGACATCTGGTGTAAAATAATCGCCACGTCTTCATGCGACTCAGTTCACTGTGACGACCCCTGAAGAAGGGAGCAGCCAAAAGAAGAAGAAGTTCTCAGCTTTCAATATAAAACTTGTGGGGGTACATGTTGTGGCTCGGGCCGTACTGAAGACCAACACTCCTTTCAGGTGGATAATAGTAGGTGGCTGCCATTCATGCATTCATCTGCGATTTGTTGCAGGTGTGAACAGCCTCTGTCAGGCGCTCTGTGCTAACCCTATGGTTGCAACGACGCTCACACACCTTGACCTTTCTGGCAACTCGCTCCGAGGCGATGACATTCAGGTATGGAGCCCCCCTCTTTAATAAACCTTAAGAAAAACCCTTACACTTCTGTAACTTAAACCTTTGTATGGAAAACAACTCCTAACTTTTTTTTTAAAGGGTCGTTTTACGTTTAATTTAAAAAAAAATTTTGTCTGAACAGCATCTGCACAGCTTCCTGAGTCAACCCAACCACCTGGAAGTTCTGGATCTTTCCAACAGCGACTGTTCCCTGGAGCTGGTAGGAAGTGCTCGCCGAGACACTTCTATGATCGAATGAATTTAAGAGCGATAATGTAGTTTTGTTGAGTCTTTAGACGGGTTATGTTTTGTTGTAACTGACTCAATCAGCCTAGTTTCTCTTTAAAATGATGTGTTTATGTCTGTTTCTTGTTCTAGGTGTGTGCTTCTCTGTGCAAAGGATCTTTAAAGCGTCTCTCTGTGCTCAACATGTCAAAAACAGTTTTCTCTCACAGGTGAGATGTCTCCAGTCATCCATCCATCCATCCATATAGTTGATCATAAATTGTAATTTCAGAATGTGCAAGCTGACGTGAATAAAACTCACTTGTTTCTTCTCGCACTCGTACAGGAAGTGTAAAGAAATCCCCGCGTCCTTTAAGGAGTTCTTCAGCTCTGCTCAGGCTCTGACGTCTGTCAGTCTGTCGGGAACCAGGCTGCCTCTGGAGGCTCTGAAGTAAGAATGGGGCCCGCTCAGACCTCCTTCGTCTTTCTGAAGTCTCCGTTTCGAGTCAACTTTTTATTTTTATAAGATAATTAACATTGACTGAGTTAAAGCAATGCAAAGTCTGATTGTTAAACTGGGACATAGTATATTTAAACTGTTAGAAGATGTTTTTAAAGCTTTTTCTCATCTTCACTGAGATTACCGTATTTTCCACCGTACACGTCGCACATCCTATAAGTCACATCAGTACAATTATGTCTAATAGAGTGAAAAAAATCCATAAATATGTCGCTTTGCCATATACGTCACATCTATTATGCATCACCACTCCTGCGTCCCGTTTCTTACGCGCCACCGCCGACAACCTGGAAATGTGGCCTGTGTACCAAAAATCGATAGGCTGCCAAATGGCGGCCATTGGAGCGTGCACAGGAAGAATTTAACCAGATTAACACTTAAAAACAATTATTTGTTTGCTCGAAATTATAGTAAAGGTGTGTCTCGGTTGAACTTTTACTTAATAAATGTACTTCAATGGTCAAATCAGCTGCATTTCGTCGGGGCGGCGCAGCAAAATGAAGCTGATTTGACGGTTGCTCCAAGTGAGCTGGACGAAGGTGGCATCTATGCGATTGTGTCATTAATAGCCACTTTTACCTATTACATGATACAACGGCATGCCATACAACTTGAGTGCCATCTAGCAGCTGAAAATGGTAGTGTTCAATATTTTTCGGTCAAAATGAATGAAAATGGTCGTATCTCAGTCAAAAATTGGATTATAAATATGAGAGAAAAAACATAAATAAGTTGCTTCAGCGTATAAGACGCAGGGCGTGTAAATTATGCAAAAAAATGCAATTTATAGGGCAAAAAATACGGTAATTGTTAAACTGGGGGATATTATATTTAACCTGTTAGAATATGTTTTAAAAGCCTTTTCTCATCTTCAGTGAGATTCAGCAAAGTTTACATGCTTGGTACAAACATCTCTCACACACCCTGAGCAGGGAATATTATTGGGTCGTAAAACAAACTAGAAGTGGATCAAAGGTCAATTTTTCCCCCTAATTTGAGCAACATCTTAAATCTGGTTTCTGCAAGCACAACTTTGAAACCTACTGAGCTGCCAAATCCAAATAATCCAGACTTAGACTTCTGAGGTGTTTCTGACATTTTAGTGTTCCTTAATAAAAAAAAATAGTTTTCATTTACTTATTTTAAGTTCTTTCGTTTTCATTTAAGACTCTCAAGGACCAAATGGGAATAATCAAAGGGTCACTTTAGGCCAGGGGTGTCCAGTCTTGGTCCTGAAGGGCCACTGTCCTGTTTTAATTGTAACCCTGATCCAACCCACTTGATTTAATCCAACAATGTTCAGTCACGTCAGCTGGACGGTTTCTTTTTTCCTGAGGCGTTTCGGCTTTTATCCAAAGGACTTCTTCAGTCCAAGGAGGCACAAATAAACTGGAGTCCCACAAATACCACACTCCTAAAGTGGAAAAACACAGCTTGCTGGTGATAAGATGGTTTCTGGGGCCCGCCCTCTCCCCCATCAACTCCTCTGAGGCAGTCATGCCAACATTTGTACCTGGATTTTTGGGCATGAACTTTGACACTTGATTCCATGTTTAAATTATCTTGTCATGTTCTGCACAGGTCTGCTGGTCCCCCTCTCACTCACATCAGGTGTGTGGGAGCAGAGGCCAAGGATTAGACACGCCCACTTTAGGACCATATATTGTATGAGTTAAAGCTTCACAAACTGAAAGACCAGAACAAAAGTTAAATTATAAAACACTCTCAGATGGAGTACTGTGACAGAAACTAGAATAATGCAGACAACAATAAGGCTCGAGTACCCCCCCCCCCCCCCCAAGTAGTACTATGTTTTCTTGCTGTAATGGTTCACATGCTATATTCTTCCTAAATGAAATGTAATCTTTGAAGAAAAACCTTTGACTGTGTCAAATATGTTTAATTTAAGTGTTACTGACCTGTTAGTCGTGTTGAAGCTGCCTTGATTTGTCGTCTGCAGGGCGTTACTGCTGGGCCTCGGCTGCAACCCAAACCTCAGCGACGTGTCTTTGGACCTCAGCTCCTGTGAGGTGAGACCACACCTGCGTGAAGTTTCTGTCAAACGTTTGTGCTGGTTTATGAAGCAAAAATTTTTGTTTGTGCAGCTGTCATTTTAAAGATATTAATAAAAACGTTTCCAGAGGTCATCAAAGGTCAACCAGCCCTCCACATTTACAAAATTTTAAAAAATGGTGTCCGTAAACTCTACTACGTTTGAGCTGCTTTTGCTTTGGACATATTACTGAAAGTTTAAAGGTAAATAGATCAACCAGCCCCCTCTGCCCACCCCCGACCCTAACCCTAACCCAACATGAACATATTTTCGTTGACCTTTGATGACCTCTGTAAACTTTTTTAATTAATATCTTTGAAATGATAGCTGCACAAACGAACATTTTTGCTGCACAATCCAACACAAATGTTTGACACCATTTTTGTTAGATTTGAGTAATGTGGGGGTCGGGTTGACCTTTTGACCTTTAAACTTTCATTAATATCTTCAAATCAAAAGCAGCTCAAACGTAGCTGAGTTGATTGACACCAATTTTGTCTGATTTGAAGAAAGTGTCGGGAGATGGTTGACCTTTCACGACCTCTGGAAACAGAACATTCGACCCCAATTTTGTTCGATTTGATGGGGGGGGGGGGGCAACTTCACTCACATGTCAGACCACTCTGGACTTCAACATTATGTTTAAACACTTTTTACTGTATGAATCCACACAAATTCAACCAAGATATTAAGGTAATAAGATATTAACCAACATTTTGTAAAACTGTTTTTTTTTTTTCCTCCCAGCTGCGTTCAGGAGGATCCCAGATCCTGGAGGGTTGCATCGCTGAGATCCCCAACATTTCCAGTCTGGATATTTCCGACAACAGTGAGGACATTTTAGCTTCCGTTCCAACATCTTCGTCTGTCCTACGTTAATTTAATGGCGCTCGTGGCTCATTCGTGTTTTTGTGCTGCCTCCCTGAGGTTTGGATGTGGATCTGACTACTCTTCTTGTGTGGCTGGCCAAGAACCGCTCCATCAGACACCTTTCATTGGGCAAGAACTTTAACAACATCAAATCTAAGTGAGTGGATATTTAAGTTAAACAATCAATATTGTAAAAGAGCCCAATATTTGTCTATTGTAACTAGACCTGTCACGATAACAAATTTTGCTGGGTGATTAATTGTCTTAGAAATTATTGTGATAAACAATAATATTGTTTGAAATTTGACAGTAATTATTGTCAAATTTAAATGTTGGTTAATTTTTGTGTGTAGTACTTTTTTTTACCACCGGATGGCAGTATAAGACTGTTTGAACCAAAGGATGGATAGTGAGGGAGCGAACAGCGCATCTCTTTTAGAAAAATGGGAGGGAGGCCCATTGACGTGACATGGGCTGTCTCTCCTTCCTTTGTTTGGTTCTCAAAATGACGGATGCTCAGTGTGGTTTGAGCTCTTTAGCATAGCATTTGTCATACAAAGCTTTTAATAAAAATTTAAAAAGTCTGTACAAAAGCTCTCAGCTTCTTTTTTCAGAGAAAAACAACTTTTTACAAGAGGGCACAGGTTTCCACGTGAATTTGGGAGCTTCGACAAGACGGAGGTTTTTTTTCCCCGAGGTCAGCCTGTTAGCTTAGCTCGTAGCTTAGCTTCTCAGCTTAGCTGCTTTTAACGATCCAAAAAACGATTTTGGACGATTAAAATGGGTTTTAAAGAGAAAAGAGAAAGGGAGGGATCATTGAAGAGCGCCAGAGTTTAGCCTTTTGTCATCCAGTGTCTTCAGTAGAAAGAGACACGAAGAAACGATAAAGCTGATAAATGAAAATGAGGTTTATAATTTTCGTTTATCATGCGATAAATTGATTTATTGTTTATCGCAACAGGCCTAATTGTAACACATTTTCTCTCTACAGAAACGTTGCTCAAGTCCTTGACAACCTGGTTCACATGATTCAAGAAGAGGACTCTGTGAGTGATTTATTACTTTTTTCCTCCTTATGAAAACTACGCTTTATCCTTTTAAAAATTATTTCATCATCCTGTTTAAAATACACATCCTCTGATGAACAACATTAGTAAATTGCTACGCTCTTTGCAGCCGTTGACCTCGCTGTCCCTGGCGGACTCTAAGCTGAAGGGCGACCTCTCCATCGTCCTCAACGCTCTTGGCAGCAACACCTCTCTGACCAAACTGGACATCAGTGGAAACTCCATGGGTGACATGGGGGCCAAGATGTTAGCCAAAGCCCTGCAGATTAACACAAAGCTCAGGTGGGGAGGGAAACGGAACGATCTTTACCTCGTTTATTCAAAGCGTTTATGGTTTGCAGGTTGTTAAAGCCAAGATAAACCATTTTTAGGCTGTTTGTCAGGAGCTCAAAGGTTTAGTAACGTACTTGCCGCCGTACATGTCACACCGCCGTATAAGTTGCATCAGTCCAAATATGTCTAATAAAGTGAAATAAACTTAAATACGTCTTTTCACCGTATAAGTCGCATATATTACACGTCACCACTGACAACCCGGAAACGTGAGCCGGTGTTGTGCCATAAATCGAATGGCTGCCAAATGGCGGCCACAGGAATGTGCATGGGAGGACTTTAACAAGAATTTAACAACGCTAATACTTAAAAACAATTATTTGTTTGCTTGAAATTATAGTAAAGGTGTGTCTCAGTTGAACTTTTCCTTAATAAATGCACTTTAATGGTCAAATCAGCTGCACTTCACTTGGGCGGCGTGGCGAAATGCAGCTGATTTTACATTTTCTCCAGGAGTTCCGGAGCAAGACGAAGGCGGCCTGTATGGCAAGCCAATTGTCTCATTAATAGCCACTTTTACCTATTAATGAGACACTTTGCTTGCCTTAATGGTTGAGGGCCCTCTAGTGGCTGAAAATGGTAGTGTTCAATATTCTCCATGTCAGAATGAATGAAATTGTCAGAACTCAGCCAAAAATTTGTTTATAAATATGAGAAAAAAACATAAATATGTCACTTCGCTGTATAAGTCTCAGGCATGCTAATTTATGCAATAAAACGGTGACTTATACAGCGAAAAATTCAATAATTGAAAACGCTCTCTTTGGTTTGTGTGTCTTCAGAACAATAGTGTGGGACAGAAACAACATCAGCCCTCAGGGTTTACAGGATGTAGCTGCTGCTTTAGAAAAGTAAGTTAAATTCATCATATTTAAGAATCCAACATGAGTTCTGCTGCTCACTCTAACTTCTTTGTTTTATCTGTCAGGAACTACACCATTCGCTTCATGCCTGTTCCCATCATGGACGCTGCTCAGGCTCTGAAGGCAAACCCAGAGAAGACGGAGGACGCTTTACTAAAGGTTTTTAAAAGGCTCTGTTTTGTAAATTGTCGCCTTTAATTAATACATATCTAACAATAATTCTGAAAATGAAGCGTTTTTTTTTTTTTCTTTATATGTCTGCCCATAACTTCTGATCGACTCGAGGTAATTTAAGAAAAATTCATGCATCATTACTGGACGGAGTGCCACAAATATTTTTTCATTATACCAGCTCCATGGTCAAGGTCACAAGTCAAGGTCAAAGTTACAACAAGGTCTTTGATTGTCCAGGTCATAACTTCTAATCCCCCCAAGATAATTTATCAAAACGTGATGGGAATTTGCACCACCACTACACGACAAGTCATAATTTTTGTCATCACCCCAGCTCTAAGGTCAAGGTCAAAATCAAGGCCAAAGTTTATACAAGGTCTTTGCTTGTCCAGTCCATTGCTATAGATTGCTGTTTAATGGTTTATCAATGGGCTTATAATGTCAATGTCACTTTTATTTATACAGCACATTTAAGAACAACAATGTTGACCAAAGCGCTTCACAAACAGGAAATCAGCAAAAGAATAAATAAAAGATCAAACATTAAACACAAGTATAATAAAATTAGCTTAGAACAAACTAAAACAAGAAAATAACGTGAGGTTCAGATGGAACTTAAATCAAACGAGTTAAAAGCCAGAACAAAAAAGTGATTTTAGACGGGATTTAAAGGACGGTACGGACTCTGCAGAACGAGTATCAATGGGCAGATTGTTCCAGAGTCTCGTGGTCCATCCTTCTAGTTCCTGTTAAAAGACGCGCAGCAGCGTTCTGGACTAACTGCAGGCGATGGAGAGATGATTATTCCAAACCAACACATGAAGAGTTGCAGTAGTCCAGTCTGGTATAATGTGCCGTGTGCTCTTGGTTCTCATTGTCTTGCAGATGGAACAGTACCTGCTGAGGAACCACGAGACGCGCAGATACCTGCAGGAGCAGGCGTACAGGCTGCAGCAGGGAATCGTCACCACCACCACACAGCTGGTTGGCAAACGTTTATCTACCAACTTTAAATTGATTTTCATGCCAGATGCATAACAAAAAACAATTCTTAACTTTTTTTTATAATTCAGATGATGGACAGGATGTGTGTCAAGGTGCAGGATCATTTGAACTCTCTGAGGTTCTCAGAAACCATCTCCATTCAGGAAGACGTGAAGGTGGCAGAGAATCTCATGAAGGATGCTAAAAATTCCAAAATAGTAAGAAATAAAAAAACTCCACCGTTCTTCCTCAATGTGCATCCAAACTAAGCTCTGGACAGAAGTTACACATATTTTCCTTTGTCTTGTGTTTTATTCCAGTTGCTCCCCAACCTTTACCACCTAAAGAGTGGGGGCTCCAGTGGTGCATGTGTTGGAGCCATTCAAGAAAAAATAAAGTCAATGGCTTTAGAGGTGGCAAGAGTGATGGACGAGCAACTGCAGGTACCATTAAAAAAAATATATATATCAACAATAAAATATAATCTGCTGTGAGAACACCCAGTAAAGTCTGAGTTTAGCTTATATATACATAATAAAAAATTTAATGTGAGATTCAGACTATGCTAACTACTCTTTAGACGATGATGGTGTCCATGGTGGATGCTGCTGAGGAACTGTGTCCTCACGTGATGAAGAGGAGCAGCCTTCGCCAGGAGCTGCTGAAGACCGGTGCAGGGAAGATGACGATTCCCCCCAGCTTCGTAACCACCACGTTCATGGAGCAGTCGGGGGTCGACATCATCAATAAGATCAGGTGTGTGTTTTAAACAGAGCAGCTCAGTTAGTAAAATAACTTTATCTATAAAGCAGGTTCAACAAATCCAAGGAATTCTTCAGTGACCACATTCACACTTAGTGATGCCTCGGTGCACATTGTCAGCTCAATGAGCCTACATGTTCTAGAAATGTGTCGCTCAGGGTGGCTGCATGTTGGAGTAACTCTGTTTCATTCATTCTGAGTTATTGCTTTTGAAAACTAAAATTCCTCTTTTGTCTGGATGTAAATCGCTTTTTTCAGATGATTATTTCCTCTGGTATCAGGTGCTGTGCAGCTGGAAGGATTTTTACTGAAACTTTTTTACTTTTGGGCATTTGTTATGATGTGTAACCATGGCTAGGTGTTATTTAACAACCAGGAGCAACTGATTAACGTCTCAAAAGCTCAAATACCTCAACTAGAGCCCCAAATCCCAAAGGAGTTGAAAAGGAGGTGCCGTGGATGGATTCCTGTCAACCTGACGGAATGTAAAAATAAACAAAAACAGGTAACACAGCTAAAGAGCTGCCCAGGAAAGCATCCTTACCAGATGCCCGACCCACCTCAACTGGCTCCTTTTGATGTGGAGGAGCAGTGGTTCTACTCCGAGTCTCTCCCGGATAGCTGAACTTCTCACCTCTAAGGGAGAGTCCAGCTGCCCTGCAAAGGAAACTCATTTCAACTGCCTGTATTCATGATCTAATTCTTCTGGTCACTACTTAGAGCTCGTAGCCATAGATGAGAGTAGGAACTTAGACCGATTGGTAAACAGAGAGCTTTGCCTTACAGCTCAGCTCCTTCTTCACCACAATGGACCAGTACAAAGTCCACAATACTGAAGACACTGCACCAATCCGTCTGTCAATCTCACTCCATTCTTGCTTCACTTGTGAACAAAACCCCAAGATACTTGAACTCCTCCACTTGAGGCAGAACCTCACCCTTGACCTGAAGAGAGCAATCCACCTTATTCTGACTGAGGACCACAGCCTCAGATTTGGAGGTGATGATTCTCATCTCAGCCATTTCACACTCTGCTGCAAACTTCTCCAGTGAGAGCTGAAGGATCACGGCACGAAGACGCCAACAGGACCACATCATCTGCAAAGAGCAGAGATGGAATCCTCAAGCCGTTGAACCAGAATCCCTCCGCCACCTGGCAAATTCTGTCCTTAAACGTTTCGAACAGAATCTGTAACATGGGCAGCCCTGGCAGAGAATGGCAAATCCCAATGAGATCACAGACTTCTTTTATAGATTATTACTCCTGATAGATTGATTGAAGCTCACTAGCTGGAGAGTTTTTCATCATTTCATCATTTTCAAATGTTTTCCATTCTTTTTATTCATGTTTATCTTCTGTTTTTCTGTGTAAACAGTGAAGTGAAGCTTAGCATGGCGTCGTTTCTGTCCGATCGCATCGCGGATGAGATCCTGGAGTCTTTGTCAGCATCACAAAATAGTCTGGTTGGTGTCATTTCTCTGTATCTACTTTTCCTTCTTTTTTTTGGTTAATCTATGTCTTCATTCATCCCTTCTTTCTTGTTCAAACTGTCTCCAGGCAGATCATTTGATCAGAAAAGATCAACCTCTTCATCAGGATGCACAGATCGAGACAGAAGTTCTGGATGAGACAGTTCTACAGCCAGCGAACCATGATAAGGATCAGAAACACAGTCGAGACCAGAAACACATCCTGGATGATATGGAGTCCTGCATGGTAAAAGTGTAACTGTTTCTCTGAATATTTGTGATCATGGCAAAGGCTTTACTACCATATTTTCTAGCTTATAAGTCACAAATTTTTTGCATAGATTTGCCAGTCCTGCAACTTATACGCCAAAGCGACTTTTATACAATTTTTTCATATTCATAATGCAATTTTTGACTGACTCTTTAAATGGTCATTCACACTGACATGAACCGGAGTAAACATTACCATTTGCAGCCACTAGAGGCACAAGAGGGCCCTCTGGGCTTTTGACAACTGCCGTTAGGCGTATATGTTGTTCCTGTACCGCTACCCCCACTGCCCCACCTCCAAACATTGACCATTAAAGTGCAGTAGGAAAAAGTTAAACCGAAACACACCTTTGCTATAATGTCGAGCAAACAAATAATTGTTTTTAAGTGCTAATCTTGTTAAATTTCTAAGAACTCCAACAACGAGTCCTCCCATGCACGCTCCTGCAGCCGCCATTTGATTTTTGGCACAACACCGACACACATTTCCCAGGGGTTAGCGGTGACGCATAATAAACGGGACTTGTACGCCTAAGCGACTTGTGTTTTTTTCATCTTCATGATGCTTTTTTGGACTGATGTGACTTGTACTCTGTAGCGACTTATACGCCAGAAAATACGATACGTTGATCTCTGAGTGAAAGCTGTGATCTCACTTAAAATAATTTGCTTTTGATCATTAGATGACTCCTAAATCTAAGAGGAAAAGTATCCTGGTCAGAATGCTGCGACCCGTATCGGTGGCATTTGGTGAGTAACAAAAAAACATTAGAATGTGCTTCATTACCTCAGAATGCAAGTAAATAAGTATGTTGTATTGCTAAAGCACATTTAAACAAAGTAGAACTACCCAAAATGCAATATAAAAGGTAATCATAAGAAAAGACTACAACACACATATTTTGACCTTTCTATTTTTCTATACTCACATTCATTTTAACTTATTTTTCCATCTTCTCTTTGACCAACAGAGATGGAGTTTGATCTGGACAAAGCTCTGGAGGAGGTTCCAATCCATATTGAGGACCCCCCTCTTCCCTCTCCGCCTCCTCCTTTACAGACACCGGACAGAATGTCACACTATGGAGATCTGCCCCCTCCCTTGACCCCAGCAGATGCAAAATCCGTGTGTTTAGGCGAGCTGCCCTCTATGGAGCACAAGACTCTGGATCATTGCACCAAGTTCCGTCCAAAACCAAAGAAGAGAACGAAACCCAGCAGAGCACCAGTATGGTTCCCATCTAAAAATATATAATCATCCCTGTAGCTATTTACTATCATTTACAGCAATTGGAATGCATTCTCTTGTCAGTAGATTGTATTCCCCCATTTGACTGTTAAAACTGAACCATGATTTGAAAAGTTATTTTAACATTGTTTTTATTTTTAAATTAAATTTAAATTGTTTGTTTGTTCATAGCTTAATATAGATGCTAAACAGTTCATTGTTATATTGACTTTGGATAACATCACTTTATTTCTTCTATTATTCAGAGGGAGGCCACTGGAGGCTCTGAGCAGAACGGCATGATGGGAACGCTGGATGAGGGTTTAGACGACTTCTTCACCAAGAAAGTTATTAAACTCAGTTTTAAGTTAGTGTCACTCTGAAACGTTTTGTTTTTTTATTCAATTTGAAAACATAAAAGAACATTACAGTGTTTATAATTTTCAAAACTTCACTTCATAAAATTGCAATACAGGCTTTTAAATCGGGTAGTCTCCCTAAACTGGTTTAACAAAAACAATTGGAAGTCATCTGCATAAAAAGTAACAAAATTCTGTTTTTCGTGTCACTCAGTTTTTGTTTCTGCTTTATTTTGTATATTCTGCAGACTTCCTTTGGTAAAAAGTTCATCCATCAACACTCCAGATGCAACAGATAAGAAACGGGAATCCAGGAAGAGTGGCTTCTTTAACTACATCAAATCCCGGACGTCCCGCTCAGAGAAAAGCCACGGAGCTGCCTCCATCACGCCACCTAAACTGTCCCTTAACACTGCAACACATCCTTCTGTCACCAGCCCTGTCATTGAGGAGACCACCCCAACATCTCCTAACCCGCCAGTTAAATCGCCTACCACTGTGGCAGAACCTCACCTGGAGCTCCACAGGGCACTGTCCTCGAACCACACAGATCCTGAGAGGCATGCACACCCAACTGTAGACAAACCTGCTGTGGAGGAGGAGGAGAAGAATGGGAAACATAAGGAGAATATGGAAAAGACTGAAAACACTGAGAAAAAGGAAAATGTAGAGAAGAAGGAGAACCCTCACGTACACCGCCACATTGGTGTTCCTGTAATGGGAAAAGACCTGCTGGCTGAGATGAAGGCCAGGCAAGAGAGGACAAGGCAAATGACTGAGAAGAAGGTTAGAATCTATAAATCATCTAATTTATTATTAGGACAAATATATTGTTATATGAGTCAGTTTTATTTCATAATAATAATATTGCTAATAAAATGTTCAGTGAGTGTTCATTCAGTGGAGCAAATGTTTTCTGCCTTTCAGTCTGATTCGACATCAGGACCTGATAAGGTGGACGCACACAAACGTGAGTGTTTGATTCTGTTAACCGTACACACTGGGTGCACTTTTAACTTACTTTAAAAGTTTTTTTTATTACAAAAAAACAACAAAGGTTTGGAAAACAGCATTTTTCTCAAATCACAAAAAAATTATAAAAGAAAATCCTCCAAAATAAAAAATAACAAATATGTTAAAACGCAACAAACTTAACAAAACTTGATTTTGCTCAACCAAAATTGTGAATAGGCATCACATAAAACAACTACAGTAAATGGAATAAAAAGATGCTTTTCTTGTGTTTTCATTGTCTTTTTTTGTTGTTGTTGTCTGGTAATATTTATTTTGCGTCTGTTGTTTGTCAAATGGTTTGTTTATTATTATTTTTAATAATCTGTTTCTAAATTATTCTGTTTACTGTTCTAATTATTTATTTTTTATTTTTTGCTGGGTTTATTGTGTTCTCTCTGTTTAGTTAATTTCTGTAAACTATTGAACGGGTGGTTTCATTTCCCACATTAGTTGGTTTCTCTCCTATCAAAAGCTCTAATTTGCCTCTTTATCATTTTCCTGCAGCCAAGTCCGAAGTCCATCCTGTTGTCCCACTGGACACCGAAGACTCCAAACCAGAACTTATTCCCAGATCCAAACCACTGAGCATCATCCCCAAACCAGCCCCGAAAGTCCCGCTGGTATCTCGGACATCTGGACCCTTCAGTCCAACAAGTCCCCGATCATGCAGCTTCTCTGTTCTTGGTGAGAAAGAAGATACTGTAGCTATGAACACACCCAGAGCGCTCAGATTACATATATGTGAAATTAAGAACCGATCAGTTATTTCACTAACATTTGTTTGTGTTTCAGATGATTCTGTAGAGACTCCAGCAGGGATCCAGTCTCCCAAAGCGCCACTTCCTGCTCCCCGTCTGAAGAGGGCGTCATCAGAGCAAGACAGAGGGAGCACAAGCAGCAGCTCTGCCGGACCTCTGTCTCCAATCGACGGTTACTATCTCCGTTTGTCCAGTAAAATATACATGTAGAGTGTAGCAGGAGAAGTGAATAATAATCGAAAGCAGGGCTATTCAACTAAACTGCTCAGGGGACCAGTTACTGAAAGCCAGCAGCTCGGGGGCTGGACATCCAGCAATTAAAGTCATTATGTAAATAAACCAAGTTTTACAATGATTACATTTGTTTGTGTTATTGCATTAAATCATAAATGCAATAAACAGAACCCAAATCCCAGAGCCAAAAATTAAATAAATAATTGGTGAATTCATTGGTGGACCGGACTGAAGTCACCTGTGGGCCGGAAATGGCCCTTGGGCCACCAGTTGTATAGCCCTGATCTAACACATTAACAATTAAATGATAAAAATCTTTCACTTTAAAATAATCAAACATTGCAGAGCAAATAGAAAAACAGTTTAAAATGATTTACATCACTGAAAGCACAGAAAAAGCCACTGAGAGGAAATAAAGCTGCTAAAAACATAACGGCCAATTTAACAGGTGACCAGATGTTTAATGAAAGCTTTCAGGACGCCTCCACACGCCTCACAGTACGTCTGAGGCAGAGGTCCATCAGACCCGGAGCAGATGCGTTCAGGCCCAGCCTGTACTTGATACGTCCAAATGTCTGTGTGTGTGTGAGATTTTGTACTTTGATGCTCCACTTGTGTAATTAACACTTACAGGAACTCGTCCTTCTCTATAATCAGAAAGGCCAATTGTCTTTCTTAATTGTTGTGCAAAAAGATGTGATTTTAAAATCACATGGACAAGAAAAGAGAATTTACGCATTTTAAGGGAATGCTTATTGTACGTTTCACAAAAACTGTCTCTTGTGGGTTTCAGTTATTTAGGTGGTAAATAACTGCAAAAGAACTTTGGTCAAAAAAAGTCAAAGTTTAAATTTGTTAGGTAATTAACTAGAGTAAATTAAGATTTTTTTTAAATAATTGTACAAGACAAATATATTTTTTAACATCGTAAAGTAGTTTAGGTGCTTAAATTTGTTATCATTATAACAATAAAGAAAGCTAAAAGCTAAAATTAGCAAATGTGGAAAGCTAAAACTAGCAGAATTGTAGCTAAATGCTAAAATCAACAAAACAGTAGCCAAAAGCTAAACTCAGCAAAACTTGGTCTTCTTTGTCGTCGTTGTCGTATTGTTGTTCTTGTTCTTGCTCTTGTTGTTCTTCTTGTTCTTTTTCTTGTTGTTCTTCTTGTTCTTATTCTTGTTGTTCTTGTTTGTGTTGTTCTTGTTGTTCTTGTTGTCTTCTCCTTCTCGTTGTTGTTGTTGTTTGTCTTCTTGTTGTTATATGTCTTTGTCTTGTTGTTCTTCTGCTTCTTGTTCTTCTTTTTGTTGTTGTTGTTCATCATCTTCTTCTTTGTTTTGTTGTTGTTCTTCTTGTGTTAATTTATTGGGTAAATAAAGTTTTGTTAGAAATCAAAATCTTCTATTTGTTCTTGTTCTTCAAATTGTTTTCAAATTATGACGAGATCTTTTGCATTTTGTGAGGAACAAATGTTGATCAAGTTAAATAATTAAAATAAAAGGTACAAATAATAATAAGTCATAGCAGTGTTGTCCTGAATGAAGTGAACATGTTGATACAAGAATGGCTGAAATAGCTTCAATTTGTGCTGAAGTGATTAGTCTAAAATTACACACCACAAAAGAAAATAAACTATGAACAGATAAATAGATTTAATTGATTGTATCTGTTTATTGAAATGTTTATGAACACATGTCTTTCCTTTCCTTCCTGTAGTTGAGTTTCCAGCAGATGGGGACGCCTTCGAGCAGCCCATCTCGGGTACCGAGCCTGGCTCCGGCAGTCAGAAGTGGTCATCTCTGAAGCGCTCGTCCTGTCCTCCGCTGGCCAGGGAGGACGACCGCGAGCGTGCCAAGTCCCTTCCAGCCTACGGTTGGAGCTCTCGTGTTATATTCTAGAGTCTATAGCTGCTTAATTTGACAAAACTAAAGTTTTTGCTTTTCTTGTCTTTCTAGTGAGGTCTCCTTCTCAGACAGAGACTGAGCTCAGAACAGCTGAAGGAGAGATTCCCCATCTGACCTCTGACCTCAAGTCCAACAACAAATCTGAGGACGAGTCCAGTGACGACACTCCTTCAGTGTGATTCATACCGTTTTTTAAAACCCTGTCCCTTCTACTCTTATCAACATTAAGAAGACGGGATAAACGATACCGGATAAAACAAAAGCATGAATTTTATTTTTTGATCAGAGCATTTATTGGATTGAACTCTGGTGTATTTTTTTGCACGTGCTCTGCTGTTTTTGTGAACCTGCCAGCGTCACAACCGCCATTAGCATCTTTGTTCAGGGATCAAATGGCTCCATTAAGAGCCCATCAGATGGGTTTTATCAGGTACAGAGGCAATCTGTGGTTCATATTTAAACATAAAGCAATAAAAATCTCATTTTGTTCAAAGAACCGAGGAGGATGAACCCGACTTGTTTACTTGTAACAATAAGTCAGACTGAAGCTGTCGTGTTTTATTTCCATTCTACTGTAAGATACAGCCAGTTGAACAGCTCAAATATCTGTTTCATATTCTGTGACACATTCGCTCAAACAAAATGTTTATTATTTATTTGAAAATGGCAATGCACATTTATGAACAAGGAAAATATGCCAGATTTAACCATCTGTAGTTTCTATCAGGTTGATGGTAAAATGCATACAAGAGGAAAAGGATGAAATAAAATGTTGCAAAACATCAACTGCAAGTAAAATAAACTGAAAGAGAAAAGAAATGCACATACACGTGTTAATGATTAGGATTAGAATGAATGAAAGTAGGGGGTAAGCTATTTAAAAAATATCTAATTTGAGACAAAAATAAAAGCTTCTGGTTATAAAGGTCAAGTAAAAATATCAACCAAAGATGATCTGCAATTGTTGAGTTCAAGTCTTTTCAGTCTTTCAGGGGTTATGTAAACAACTTGCTGCTGCTTTCATGTTATAATTAACAAACGAGCCCCGTTGACTGTAAAATTTCATCTACTTCCACTTTAAACATTGATCGAGTCTATAAGGGTAATTCTAAACATCAGCAGTGGCGGCTAGGCTGCTTAATTTCTTTAATCAATGGTTTATTTCAGGTTAAATGCAAGTTATGTATCCTTTAGATTTTATTAAAGCATTTAAATTATTTTAAAACTCAATACTTTAGGTTCCCAACTCTGGTCCTTGAGGAATGCCGTCCTGCATGTTTTGCTTGTTTCCTTGATTTGAGTGAATGGGTGATTAACAGGCTTCTGCAGAACTTAAGGAAGTAATATAATCACTGAATCAGGCATGCTGGAGTGTGAAACAACTGAAACATGCAGGATGGTGTTCCTCAAGGACCCGAGTTAGGAACCACTATTTTCGGTAAGAACTAGTTAGTTTGTGTTGTGGCAGTTGGACTTGTTATTTTCACATTTCTGCCACCACAAATTCACAACTGTTCCCTTTTAAAATACCAAGTTAGTTCAGATATAAAAGTTTTTGGTCTTGTATTTACACCTGACTCAGCTGCTGTATCCCCACTACCTGCGTTGTAACATTCTGTTCCTCGTGTACTGCTGCACTTCAAAATGTATTATACATATTTGTAAATATGTACTAACATAAGTTGATCTGTTTATAGAATGTGTTTTTGTTTGTTTAATGCAGAAATGATGTGATTCATGTTTCACGAGAAGAAGATGTGATTACTGAGTTTAAAAAACTACTGATGGAACTGGGTGATGGTTTTATTTTATTGGGATTTTTTTTCTTTTTCAGTTGAAAGTAGATTTTATTATTTGTCGGTGATCATATTATTGGAAATGTGATGTCAAGCTGTCAGATATTTTTGTATGTTTATCCCAAAGAATACAGTCTTTGGTTTATACCAATAAACTGAGTTAATGGTCACTCTCAGTCTTAAAACCCGCCTCCGTTTTGTTCTCTGCCCTCCCCTCATGTATAAAGAGGCTCATTTCACTGACTTCAGGCTTAAGAAGCAGATTTTACTGCAGAGGAATATTCAATCTGTAGAAAGAAGGAGCTCAGAACACCTTTTATTATTTCTTCATTTTGTTTTCATAAACCGGATCTTTGGACTGCGCAGCAGCACCATGGACAGCGCTCTGGACCGACTCGACGCCGCGACTTTCTTACAGATCTGGCAACATTTTGACAAAGACGGTACAAAGTTTAGATTTTTAATGCTGCATCTGCTTGTGAAATATGTTGCCATAACTTTTATTTTACCTGCTGAAATAGGAAGCATTTTTTTTTTTTGTATCTGAACCAGCAGCATTTTGGAAAATAATTTATTTTTGAACCTGCAAAATAGTAACATTAGTTGTAATCATTAGAATGCATTGCTATGTTAATTTAACTTCATTTTAAAAAGTTAAAATATTAATAAAGCTGTTCTTTCCAAAATAATAAAAAAGGAAATTTCCAAAATAAATAAATACAATGAAATTCAGCTTTAAATATTTTTAAAATCCTCTATGAAATAAACGTTCCTCACATTAGTTTCTTTAGTTAAAGTTGGAGATTTATGCACAGAAACGTTTGTTACAATTCTAACATTATCTGCTTCCCATACATTTGATCTGTTTTATGTGTAAAATATTTGCATGTTTAGCAGTAAACAAAACTTGTAAACCCTAAAACTATTGGTCAGTAATTAAATCTGTAATAACTCTTTAAAAACTTTATTTTACTAATTTTGTCTCTGTCATTCTTGGTCTGCTCTTATAGAGGTTTTAAAAGCTTAATAAAACCATATTGCTGCATCAATAATTAAATAAAAATATTTTCGGTCCACAGAATCTTACAATGGATGAAATTCCTCAGTCCCAAATATTAAAAGTGTTTTTGAAATATTTGATCAAATGAATGTTCTCGTTTTGTTTTTCTGCTATTTTACTTTTTATAAATCGTACATTACCGTATTTTTAGAGAACTTGTAGTGACAAAACTTTTTTTTTTTTTTTTATTGTTCATGTACATCAGTTTCATGTTTTCTGTGATTTCTAGATAAAGGTTTCATCGAAGGAAAAAAACTGGAGGACTTTTTCAGACACATGCTGCAAAAACTTGGAATGAAGGTAAAGACGTGAGATTAAATCACAGCTAAAGAGAAGCAGATATTAAATAAATTTTAAAAGCATGAGAGCCTCAGCAGTTCTTCACTTTAGCACATCACTGTCATTTTTATTCGTTCTGCTGCTGCTTTGGTTTCTAGAATCAGAAAAAGAAAAAACCTTATTATCACTGCACCGAAATACAGTGAGTTTATGTTCGTACAGTCGTCCGAAAGATGGGCGGAGTGCACGTTGCTGCTGCTACAAGAGCACGGCATCTGATTCTTTATCAGAATACTTTTTTTTAGATAGAAAAAGGTAAAAGGTCATGAGGATGGATAGTGGTTTTACATAAAGATTTTTTTTACATCTTGTCCTATCAGGACACTATTTGCAACATAAAAAACTCTACCAACAAGCACAATTATAAACATATTAAATTTGCATTTGACGACAAGACGTTGAGATTTGTCCATGAAGCACTTTCAGATAGACCGTAGTCCTGATGATGTTCAGCCACTTCTGATAAGCCTGCACAGATGCTCCCAGGCGGGGGATTGAGCTAGACAAAACTTTTTCCTTAGTTTACCCATGACCCAGGAGAAATTTGATAGTCGACCCACATCCGAGGCCAAACGGGGGAATCAGATTCAGATAAGCCACAATGGTTGATTTTTTTCAGGCAGACTGTTTTTTCTTGTCAGCCTTGAGTCCTGCTCATACTTTCCAGATTGGCCAGATTAATGGGCATGCCACTGATTTGTGCTATAAGCCTTCTTTAAGGTCGACTCCAACATGTTGGCGGGTCCTAGAAGCCGTCAGTGGCCTGTGATTCTCACAAATCGCGTCCATCGTACGATTTAGCTCGTATATCAGCTGATTTTGAGTACTCGTAGCATGAACCAAACCTTCACACAGACTCAGAAGTTTTGTCATGGCCGAAACTGCTGCCGATGTCTTCTTCATAAGTTCAGGGACCCGCCGATGCCAAAAAGCAGAAACCCCGCTATCATGAATCCAATTATATAAACGTCTTCGGCGTCCTCCTGAGACAAAACCAAAAGACACATCAGCTCCCACACCCCCCACGGATCCCTGATGTATCCTGCAGCGTGAGTGTCGGCAGGACATGAGGGCTCTCCAGGACCCTGTCGTTTTGTTGAAAAGATTTTGTCGATTGCGTTGAAAGTCCTTCTCACCAGATCCATAATAGTATTTTTTTCATTCAGAAGACGTGTACCAGGAGCTCCGAGACACACACAGAGAGCAAATGTAGGAGGACGAGGAGAAGGTGTCCGCCTTGAGCAAGAGCCAGAGGAGAAACAATAAAAAATGTGAAATGTGGGCACAACAGAAGTACCAAATTTATTCAAAAGAAAAATCCAAAAGTGCTTTTTATTATTATGGAACATAATATTTTTGATTACAACCATAAACATTTATTTATTCCATATGTACAGTTCTAGTTTTAGCTGCTCTGGTTCTAGTTGCTCAGTTTATTTCAGGTCTTTGTTTGAGGACTGCATTGTTGTTTACGGGACGCTGCAGACGTTGCATACAAATGTTGTTTTTCAGAAAGAGGAGATAACGGAGGAGAAAACAGGAAAACTGAGAGAAAGATTCCCATCAGCCCACAACGCTGCGGCAGGTGGAAACGTTCAGATCCAAGAGGTACGACTGCAGCTCCAGAACCGCTTCTCATGTTTCTGTTTACATTTGTTAATTTTTCAGCCACAAACAGTCTGCACATGTGTTGAACATGAGGTTCTCTTAGATTATGATCCAAAGTTAAGACCATCAGAACAGAGTTTAACTATTAGTCACGTTCTTTAATTGTTTTATTTTTCTTAATAATCTTTCATTTAATTGTTTAATGTTCAGGCTTCTGTTTAATACACCATATTATTTTACATTATTAGTGTTTAGCATATATCTTAGTGTATATCTTAGATCCTTGTCTACTGTTTCTTTTTTTATAATTTATATTTTTGCTGTTTTTGTGTGTAACTGGGACCTTGGGTACACAATTTCATTCCACCTCACCACATGTGATGCGAATGGCAATAAAGAATGTTGAACCTTAATTGTTTGGTCAATGTCTTTATAATTTATATTTAAGCCAAAGACAATATGTATAAAATAAAGTTTTCTTCTTTAAGATAAAACAAGTTAAAGGGGAAACTGTCTCATTGCAGCTGGCCACCATGTTGCTGCGTGAGGAGGAGAACTTCCTGCTTTTGTTCCGCAGAGAAACGCCGCTGAACAACAGCGTGGAGTTCATGAGGGTGAGGCTCCGACACCTGCAAACAAAGTGGGATCAATAATAAAAATAAAGAACGACGTGAGGAAGGATTTCATTTCTTCAAAATCATCAATTTTTACACAGAAACTGAATAAAAAGCTGAAGAAAATTCAGAGAAATTGGGATTTTCCATGTAAATGCAAGTGCTGAATGATCGCTGAAGTTTGATGAAAAAGCTGAACTGAACTGTTCATTGGAAAAAAAATGGAAAGTAGTAGCTAAAAGCTTAACCTAATAAAAACCTTAGCTAAAAGCTAAAATTAGCCAGTTGCTAAAGGTTAAGATCTGCAAACCAGTAGCTAAAGGCTAACCGTATGTTAAATGCTAAAATGAGCAAAACCATAGGTAAAAGCTAAAATCAGTAAGACATTAGCTGCAAACTGAAAGTAGCAAAAACACTTTCTACAAGTCAACATAAACAACAGAATCTAAAAGCTAAATGGAGATAAGTGATGAAATTATCAAAGAAACAAGTAAAAGTGAAATGGAGCATAAAACGCCAAAAATCAAGCAAACCAAAAATGTTGATTTATTATTTAAACAATGAACTTTTTACTAAATATGTGTTAAAACTTTATTTTACAGTATGATTGTAATGTCTCAGAAGTTGCTCTGCAGCTAAAAATTGATCAAATATAATTTTCTCTTTCCTTTAATTTAAAATAAGCAATAAATTGATACACGGTACATAAATGAATGCCAAGTTCAAACTTTATGAACATTTATGCTGAATGTTTGATGTAAATATTCTATTGGAGACTTTTCTTTTACTGTTGTAGATCTGGAGGAACTATGACACAGACAGCAGCGGCTACATCTCAGCCAACGAGCTCAAGGTAACGAGTCGGCGAATTGTTTAATCTGCCAAAAGAAGAGTTTTCATATCCTCTGTACATCCCAAGATGTGCTGTTTTCAAAAGCATTCTGGCAACAATATCCATCCATTATATTTGACCCACTTCTTCCTTTCTGGGTCACGGAGGTCACTGGTACCCATCCATCACCCTGCGAGAGGCGGGGTACACCCT